TTGCTTGTAGTGTGTTTTGCTTAGTACACGTTAAAAATTTACACAGAAAATATGTATCTGCCAACTATAAACATCTTGAAGGAAAATATATTCTTGTGTCATCTGTATTGACTTATGACTTTGGATGTATTGTATATTGTCAATCATTTTATGGTTATAAAAAACTTTTACAGTAGGCAGTAAATTTCACTAACAAAAGTACAGAAGGAAGCAGGCAAGCCAGTGACAGATCCACTGTAATTTTTTTCCAGTTTCATATTAGGCCACAAAATTATATCATTTTATTGCTTGTGATGAACTGAGAACAGAAATGTTCAAATTCACCTTATCCTAACAATAAGGCAATGAAGTACAATGGAAAGCTGAATTCTAACTGTAAATATTTTCTGCAACATAACATTTTCAAACCTGCTTAAATCCAGAGAGGTTTTTATTATACAATTTGATTTTTACATCAATAAAATCTTAGATATAACAATACAGATGAAGGAAAAACAATTTAATTTGTACTGAAATAAATATTAGATATACAAAGAACATACAGTGAAAAAGGGGCACAATAAATTACAAGTGGAGACATTATTTTGCTCAATCACCAGAGAAAGCCCTTGACACTTCCAGTTCCACCCTGGCAAATTTATCATTCTTGCTGATTTAAGCAGAACACAAAACAAAGGTGGATCCCAGGGCTTCCTTTCACAGGTACCAGCACAGATAATTTACTACAGTGATCCAATTTGGAAATCAGTAGGGACCAGTAAATCGCTGAATAAAAGAAAGAGCAAATGAGGTCCTTTTTCCTTAGTGTCAGCAGGCTATGATTATTATGTTTATTAGATTTTCCTGAAGGGACTTCACATTTTCTCAAATATTCAGGAGAAATATATTTCCCCTCTGAGCCCTACATTAGCATTTATGTGCTTTGGTCTTGAATACCAGGGAATGATGAATTTTTCAATTTATTTTATAAATTTATATAGTCTGGATAGTATTGGCCTGAAAAGTATAACTCCCCAACCTGTATAATATTAGATATTAAAAATGGATTTGAGAAGTTACTAAGAAATGCTGACATATCATTTATACAAATTTTTAGTTCAATATATCCCATTATATAGAGCACCAGAAGTAATGCATTTATAAATCAAGCAGGTTTTTTTTTTTTTTTTTTTTTTTACTCTAATCTTTGCGACCCTTTAACATTTCTTCCAATATAACACATCACAAATGTTACCTGCCGGAGACTTTGCTCATTTGGTCTTAACTCATGTATGTATGCAAACATTCATGTCAAAAGCAATTGTTTTATTTTAAAGTTATAAAAACACAGTCCAAGTTTGGAGCTAAACTGTCATGAAACAAGAAAAAAATGTTTAAAAAATACTGAACACATCAAAAAAGTAGCTTCAGGAGGCTAGGAAGGTAAAAGTGAAATGATTTTAGGACCCCTTTTTCCTGAAATAGGAGCTAATTTTTAGATTCCAGCCAAGATATCCATCAATAATTTTTTACCATCACTTTCTACGAAAAATAATCTACTTTAGATTTTAAAAAATACTGTACTTTACTCTCTTCTCACATCATCTAAAAGTCAATGCAGGTCACTTTTCCTATTTGCACTACACAAATAGAGAAAGACTACTTTGAGTTAATCCCTCACACAGGAATGTGTTTCTCTTAAGAACCCACTTGAATGTCACCTTGAGAGGTAAACATGTCCTAGAATAACTACTACTATCAGGAAACCTCCCCGCCCAAAGTTGAGTTTATTCTAGTGACACTGGTTAATAAAAATTATATAGGTTTCAGGTGTACAATTCTATAACATATCATCTATATATTGTATTGCGTTCACTCCCAAGTCACCTCCCAAAATTTTAGCAGCTCCTTTCCTATCCTTAATTTCAGATCCCATAATAACTTCCCACCTGGAATATTATAAGAGGAATGCTCATTAAAACAATCTCTGAAAATAACCCCTGAATATATAAACATATTTTTATATATTATCTGTTGAGCTACACTATCATTAAGCCTCTGTAGAATTCTCCTAATCCTAGAGAAATTCCAATGAGGTGTTAAGAACTAATTGTCTCTGAAACTCAAACAGAATTTACAAGTCTAGGTAATATTCCTTTTCTTTAAAAAAATTTTTAAAATATATTTTTATTGATTTCACAGAGGAAGGAAGAGGGAGAGATAAAAACATCAATGATGAGAGAGAATATTGATTTGCTGCCTTATGCATGCTCCCCACTGGGGATCAAGTCTAAAACCCATGTACAATATGTGCTCTTGACTGGAATCAAACCCGGGACCCTTCATTCCGAAGGTCCACACTCTACCCAGAGCCAAATCATCTAGGGCTAGGTACCATTCTTAATACAATATTCAAAAATTTCAATATGCATTTGTATTTCTATGAGAGCTTAAATTTTAAGAGATTGAACTGCCTATACCTTGTGTACTTACAAAATGACCGTGAAAAAATTTTTATTTATTCTACATACCTGAAAATGGAGGAAAAAACAATTTTATAATTGATGTGTTTTGGTGATGTAGAAACTTACAATGAAATATAAAAAAAGACCATGATCTGAATAATAAGTCTCATAATTATAATCTATTTTACTGTTTACCTAGAAAGCAGGTATTAAACAGGATACTTCTTTTCAGCTTTTGAACATTTCAATATTCTAAGAATGTATTCAGAATAAATGCTTGCTAAATACTGGTTGAATATTGAGTAATTACGTATTTTAAAAGGTCGTGGAATTAAGATTCTTAGTTTTATGGCTGTCTCAGCCCTTTCAGTGGCTTTTAACTTTCCACAGGGCATGTGACACCGGGACGCTACTTGAGAGTGACACCTACTGATCTGTAATTACCTGTCTGTAATTATTTTCTCCCTTGAGGTTTTGGACAAAGTATGTAGCGAAGTTAATGTAAATCTGGATAATAGCATTTATGCTAGCAGATCTTAAGGGGATTTGGGCAGGGAAAGGCTTTATTTATTGCTTTAAATTTATTTTTAAAATATATTTTATTGATTTTTTTACAGAGAGGAAGGGAGAGGGATAGAGTTAGAAACATTGATGAGAGAGAATCATCGATGAGCTGCCTCTTGCACACCCTCTACTGGAGATGTGCCTGCAACCAAGGTACATGCTCTTGATGGGAATAGAACCTGGGACCTTTCAGTCCCCAGGTCGATGAGACAAACCGGTTTCTTTAGAATAACTATATTAATAAAAAGTCCCATAATCTCTCAAAATTAATATAATCCAGTCTGATAGCAAACTTTAAAAAACTAAACCACTTTTACTTGTCTTATTACATATATACTCATTTTATTTTTCCAGATGAATAACATTTATGTCCTAAACTTACAAACCTAATCTGAATTTGTGATCCTGACTTTTAGGAAGAAAGGAAGTATTCTGACAGCTTTATAATTCTTAGTTATACAAGACCTCATGAATCTGTAATAACTTCTGGTCTAATATTAGCATACCTTGATTTTCCCTGTAAGGGAGATTCTTAAATATCTAAATTTAAAATTTTTTTTTAAAAAGCTAGCTTTTATTCTTGCTTACTTCCAGGAGCATCTACCTTGGTAACTTTATTCCAAGTAACTTTTTTTATTTTATTTTATTTTATTTTATTTTATTGATTTTGTACAGAGAGGAAGGGAGAGAGATAGAGAGCTAGAAACATCGATGAGAGAGAGTCATCGATCAGCTGCCTCTTGCACACCAACCCCCACCGGGGATATGCCCACAACCAAGGTACATGCCCTTGACCGGAATCGAACCCGGGACTCTTCAGTCCGCAGGCTGACGCTCTATCCACTGAGCCAAACCAGTTTCGGCTATTCCAAGTAACTTTATATACAATTTGTTATTTAAGAAATTTCTCTTTGGAATGATGTTAAATAGAGTTGAAATTTATGAGGAATCAAGTAGAGAAAAGGAATGTAGACTTGCTGCTAAATAAAGCAGGTTTTGTAAGATGCTTCCACCTGTCTGAGAGAGTGTGATATCTAAAAGTACACCTTAAGAGTGTACTATGTACTTCTTAAAGAATTCAATATTTTGGATGTTAAATCAACTTTTTAAAATCCTGTTAGTAGAAATAAGTTCAGCTATGCTGCTATTTTTCCTACTGCATTCTATATACTGCTATTGTGTTTCCTTAACTTTTATTCAATAGGTATACATTGCACTATAATTTCAGATGCCACTATTAGCTGGTTGTATATTTTTATACCATAAAATTTCTGACTACAAATTCATGCAAACTTAAAATCTGGTAATGTTCAAATTGTAAAATTTACTTTGGCATGAGTATAGAAATGTTTTATTTATAAATCAAGCCTTGCTTTAAGTCAAATATGAGCATATCAAATATACAATCCCATATTTGATAGAAAGCCTTTAAGGTCTAAATGTTCACATTCTTTTTGTTAAAATCAACATCAATTCTTTTCCTTAGAAAATCTTTTTGACCAACAATAATTTTCAAAAAAAAAAAGAAAACACGTTGGGGGCAAAAGGACAAAATGGGGAGCATCTGTAGTAACCTCTACAATAAAAATAAACTCAAAGCAGAGACACACTTAAAGGACATTAAAAGTAAACCATAATAATCATGGTAAAAACAGAGCAAAAAGAATATTAATAAATGTAAAAACTGGTGAAATATGAATAGGTTCTATTGTTTAGTTAACAATATTATCCAGGGTTAATGTCACAATTTTGATAAATGTTGTATAGTTAAATAAGATGTTAACATAAGGGTAAGTAAAAAATATATAGGAACTATTATTTTTGCAACTCTCCTATAAATCTAAAATTATCTCAAGATTTAAAAAATTGCAAAAAACAAAACATAAAAAACATAAACTTAAAAATAAATATGCATTCACTGCCAAAATTTCTTGATTTAATTCAAGACATAATTTTTCAAAACCCATTAGAAATCAATAATATATTGTTCACTTAACATTATAGTCACTTTATTGCTCTAGAAAATTTAGTTCTTGAAATCATAAGATTATATATATAGTGATAATGAGCCACAAACACGTACACACACAAAATCAACTGTATATTATGAGGCTGCTTCTCAAACTTAGTAGAAAATATTACAAAAAGAGCTGGTTATGGTTGAGCTATCAAGTAGATATCACATTCCTATAGATTTGAAAGTTGAACAAAAAAACCTGATGTTACTAATAAGTTACCAATGAATGTATTTGAAGAATCCATATTACATGCAGACAGAAGAAAAACTGGTTACAAAAACCATTACATTATTCTGTACTAAAATTTTTGCAACATTTTAGACATTTCCAATCATGTAACAACAAAGATCAAAATAAATTTTATAGAGTTAATAGAAGTTCAACAAGTAGGATTTAACATATTACACAACTCAAATCACAGTTGCATAATACATCCAATTCCCCCAATTTTATTTATGCAGCATGAAACTGAAATGTACACTATTCTCCCAAAATGCCTCCTCAGGCAGCATTCCCAATCAATCGCCTTACCTATAAACCTTTCCATTTAACCTTTCAATAAGATTTGCTGGGTATATAATCTATAGGATAGTCTTCATTATCATTTCAGAACAGACACTAAGTATCAGTCATATGATCTTCAGTTATATTCTTTTCAAAAGGTACCTGCACTGCTGCAACTGTCCATGAAAATTCAAGCCTAAGAAACAGAGAAAGTTGGTAGTCAAGAATCTGATCTAGGCAATTCTAAAACTATACTAATAATGTGTCCATACTGTAAAAGAAGGATTTCCTATCTGAGAAATATTACTCAATGGGTAAGAAAGGAAAGTTGTAGGACTACTGCTCTCTGGTGTAAAATGGTTGGGTAATTCCAAATATTTATTTAATTGGCTAATAAGCTTATAGTTGAGCCTTTTAAAAAATATTCAAATCCACAGAATTATGGAAATAAAATTTTAGAAGGTCATAGTGTAAGACACATACAGAACTCCTTTTATAATGGCACATCCAAAATAAATCTGTCTTAGCAAAGCAGCACAAAATCAATTTAATAACAATTTGAAACCAAATACAGTGGGAAATGCTTCAGTTAAAATCATCAACCAAAATTCATAATGGCAAAAGAATACTGTCTCAAAATATACTGAATTCACATATGTAAATTTACCATAAAGAACTAATGCCAGATATAAATAAATTCAGATCACCAATTAGATTGAAATAAATTTTAGAACTATTTTTACAAGAGAAATAAATGTACATGATAAAGGCACAGTAGCATCTAAAAAAAAAGAGATACATTTATTACAAAATACAAACTTCCTTAACCATTAACACCACAACACAGAATTTTCTTGGAAACTTTTTGTTTTATAAAAGCTTGATTTAACATGCCAGGGAAATATTTTTCCGTTAAGATGCATTATGTAAATTATGGAAGTTGGATTGAGGTCAGTTTCACACCTGGAATTCACAACCCCTGGCAGAAGTACCAGTTGCTAATAATGCTTACTTATATCATATATAACTTAGCTCGACATTAAACTACGCAACTGTTGGTGCCAATCTGCTTATAAAGGCGATGCTCTGGAGACAAAGTCTTCTCACAAACAGAGGGCAAGCGGGTTTCATTATTAGATGTTCAACAATAATCCTCAATTCATTAAACAAGGTCCTGCGAAATAAATAGATTTTGTTCAGAAACACAGGAAAAAACAAAAAAAAAAAAATGCAAGGCAAATGCTGATGATGGAATTTCCCACAACCATTAAGAATGTGAAGAAGTAAAAGAAATAACTAGAATGCATTGCCAACAGTTTTTCCTGGAAATCACAAAATAAATAAAATTCTAAATCAACATCTGTCCTTCGGGGGAGAAAAGTTCATTTAACAAAAGCATTTAATAAATGGCTACCTCTGAAGGCTGAGACTAGGGATGATTTCTATCTTTACAGTGGAATCATTTTCACATTTAACTTAGGCAAATCCAACTAGTTCTAAAAAAAAGAACAAGAAAGTGAAAATTATATAACATGGGCAATCCCACCTACTATTTCCTTAAAGAAACATACTCTTTCCTAGAGCTTTCATCTGAAGAATAGGAATAGGCACTTAGTGGAGTTGTAGTGAAATAGTGAAGTAGATGCTCAATGGGTATTACGTCACAGCTGGATCATTACACTGACCAAACTGGCACTGTCTTCCTTCAGACTAAAGCCCAACTCCTTAACATCTAATGCCCTCCAGAATCTGGTCTCAATCAATTTTCTTCATTTCCTGCCACTCTCTGCCCCGACTCCCATGTTCCAATTATCTTGCATGTTTGTGCCGAAAGCTGGTTGAAGACTTGACTTTACTTTAATTGTGCTCCTTGCCTACAAAGTACTCTTTATTACACACGGTACACATCACACATATATAGTACAGGCTAGCAGACACAGTATCATGGATCTTGTATTGTAATTAATCATCAAAGGTAATAATTTTCACCTTATGTGCTGACTCATTCTGTATAAAGACAACTCCTGCTCTACTTTTCTGTATCTTCCATGTTATTTTTATAGTTAGGAAACAGCAATAATGTACTGCTTAAACAAACAAATAAAAAAGGAGCCCTGGCCTAACCAGTTTGTCTCAGTGGATAGAGCATCGGCCTTCGGACTGAAAGTTTCAGGTTCCATTCTGGTCAAGGGCATGCATGTACCTTGGTTGCGGGCACATCCCCAGTAGGATGTGTGCACGAGGCAGCTGATCGATGATTCTCTCTTATTGATGTTTCTAACTCTCTATCCCTCTCCCTTCCTCTATGTAAAAAGTTAATAAAATATTTTTTTTTTTTAAAAGGAGCTCTGGCCAGGTGGCTCAGCTATTTAAGAGCATTGTCCCATACACCAAAAGGTTGTGGGTTCAATCTTGGTCATGGTACATATGGGAGACAATTGATTGATGTTTCTCTTCTCTCTCTCAAAAAACAAACAAATCAATGAAAACATATCCTCAGGTGAGGATTTAAAAAAAAAAAAAAAAGGGTGGGGGGGGTGGGGGAAAGGCGCGCCTAGCTGGTTTGGCTCAGTGAATAGAGCTTCAGCTGAGGACTGAGGGATCCTGGGTTCAATTCCGGTCAAGGGCACGTGCCTGGGTTGCAGGCTTGATCCCCATTGGGGGATGTGCAGGAGGCAGCCAATCAATGATTCTTTCACATCATTGATGTTTCTATCCCTTTTTCCCTCTCCCTTCCTCTCTGAAATCAATAAAGATATTTAAAAAAAAAAAAGGGGGGGGGTGGGTGGGTGGAGGTGTAATATGTCCTTGTACAAAGACAAGAAGGAAATTTGGAAATATCCATGTGTGAGCGAAACACCAATCGGCTGCCTCCAGCATGCCCCCTAACAAAGATGGAGCCCACAACACAGGCCTTGCCCTGACCCAGAATGGAACCAGAAACCTTTTGGTGCATGGGACAATGCCCACTAACTGAGCTACACCAGCTAGAGCCAATCTCAGTTTTCGAAAAGAAATACAACCACCACCCGGCTGGTGTGGCTCAGTGACTGAACATCAAACCTATGAACCAGGAGATCATAGTTGGATTACCAGTCAGGGCACATGCTGGGTTGTGGGGTCGGGCGCCTGTGGGGTGTGCAGGAGGCAGCCAATCAATGATGCTCTCTCATTGATGTTTGATGTTTCTTTCACTCTCCCCTCCTCTCTGAAATCAATAAAAGTATATATTTTTTTTAAAAAGGAAATACAACCACCTTCTCACCAACCCTAGACAGTTCTAAAGCCTAAATGTACAAAAACATTGTTTGCTTTTAAATTCTATCATAAAATTGAACTAATTTAGCCTGGCTGGCATGACTCAGTGGTTGAGCTTTGACCTATGATGAATCAGGATAACACGGTCAATTCCTGGTCAGGGTACATGCCCAGGTTTTGGGCTTAGTCCCCAGTAGGGGATGTGCAAGAGGCAGTCAACAATGATTCTCTCTCATCATTGATGTTTCTATCTCTCCCTCTCTGAAATCAATTAAAAAAAAAAAAAAATATATATATATATATATATATATGCGCAAAATAACTTAAATGTACAAATACTGTATTTCACAATACTCTTAACAAATAAACAGATTTGAACTAATCCCCAGCTTACCGACAATATGGATTTCTTCGAGAAGAGTATCGGAGAGTAAGAAATCTATAGTATATAAAAGGCTGGAGCAAACTTCCTTGACCGCTAAAAGAAACAAATACAGAGGTAGTAAGTATACATCATTAATTCATATACATACTCTTAAAACTTAAAGGCAATTTAATTGAAGGATGTGTCTTTATTAATCAAACTAGAGGCCCAGTGCATGGATTCATGCACCGGTGAGTCCCTCAGCCTGACCTGCACCCTCTCACAATCCACGGTGTGGATGAAGCAGATTTGGGGCCAACAGTGCCTCAGCAGCAATCTAACCCATGGCTAATTCCAAAAGGATTCGGGCTCCCTTCTCTACTGGTTGGAGTGTCTGCCCCCTGGTGGTCATTGTGTGTCATAGATACCAGGCAAATGGTCAGATGGTTGCTTAGGCTTTATATATATATATATATATATATATAAAACCTATCATATCTAAATCCATTATATCGTTCCAGAACTTTATTTAGGTTAAACTATCTATTTAGGACCCTACAACTTAAGCAATATGTGGTGAATCGGTTTTTGTTTTTCAGGGGAAAACATAAATTAAAAGAATGGAACAGATGCCTTTATGAGGAAATTAATAAAACTCTTATTACCTTGAAAAGAGAGTGTTAAAGAAAGGAATAACTGTCAGGTACATAAAAACCGTAGGCAATGAACATTAAAATACTTCATAAACCATGGTCTATTAAATATAAAATGCACCCAGCTTATACTCAGCAAAATCAATTCAGGTATCTATGTTAGAGATAACAATGAAAGAAAAGTATAAGCAGATAAATAAAAACATTTGTTTGTTTTTATTTGTCTGCTTATTTATTTGGAATAAATAAATAAGCAGACAAAGAAAAACATTTGTTTTTCTTTGTCTGCTTATTTATTTATTTGGAAAAGTAAATAGTTGGAAACAAATGTCTATAAAAAAGGGAATGCATAATAAATGTTCCATGCTAACATGATGGAACACTACATAGCCACAAATAAGAACTCTGTATGTCAACATAAATAGGTCACAAAAATACACTGTATGAGTGAAGAAGGCTAAATGCAGACAATTGATGTATTCTGATGCTTTTGATGTAATATAAAAACTAAACAAACAAAACCCTTCACCCACAATATAATAATATACTACATTTTGTACCCCTCTGCGTAAGTTTTTTTAAAGACAACATACATGTACAATATCAAACTCCATATACTTGGGAAGGAGAGGGCAGAATTGCTACTAGGATTCATAGTCAAATGGAGTGTCCCAATACTTGTGAAAGTAAAAATTGAAAAAGCAATAATCCTGACAGAAATGTAGTTTTAAAACTTAAACGCAAGAATATCGATGGAGTAATCAATACTCTATTTTTCTTAAAATTTAAAAGGAGGACTTTATTTAGTCATGTATTATTTCTCTCTCTCTCTCTCCCTCTCTCCCTTGCCTCACTTCTGCAATTAAGATACAAACTATTGAGGTGGTGTAAGCAAAAATTAATTCTAGACCATAGACCATAATTAATTAGAAAAATAGATAACAATTCCAGATTTTTCTCTAGCATAAAGAAAACTCATCTTAATAATAGAATGTACTAGACTTCCCAAGATTCTTTCAAATGTAGTTACTCTGAAATTAACTTTCCAAATGTTAAATGATGTGACAAAGAATGATAAGACATGTTCCCAGGTTTACTTTGTCTCAGGTTCTCCACTATGAAGTGAAAAGGTAATTGCTAAGATCCTCCTAGCTCTACATATCAGGATCTATTTAACAGACTGAAGCAGGATAAAATTCAAGTTAATATATTTATTATAGTCACTTAGTCATCAACCTCCTAAAACAAATGTATTTTCATTCTTACCTAAAAAGCATAAAAACTGTAGCAGGCATCAAGAGTATTTCATTACAAGCAATGAATTTCAGAATATTCTGTTGATTGGCGCTTAATTTGTCCAAGAGGGATCTCAGCAGAGGTATACTATTTGAACCCTTTGCCTAAAACAGAAAACAAACATTAGAAAAAACAAAGCATTTCTGATCACTCTATTTTCTTTCTTTAGATAAACAGCATATTCAACAGGACAAACAAGCAAAAGACAAATATTTGGAAATGATGACATAAAATAAGAAACTACTTAAGGACAAAAGTTAGTGTATTTACTTGCTTTATTATATTTTTTATGTACTTGAAAAATAAAAAACAACTTTAATACAAGTCCTTTATTTCTTAAGATTAGAAAAAATGGCAGTTATTTCTCTCCAACCGTAACAAAACCTGACTCTCCAGTAATACATTTAAATTATCTGACTCCTTAGCTAACTAAAGATAGAAATCACCAAGTCCAATTATTGCTGTGACCAAAGAACAATAGGGATAAAGAAAAAGGCCAACACAAGGCAAATTTTGATATTTTAATTCAAACTTCAGTGCATATGCAGTCAACCTGCCTAGCACACTTATGTTAGGTTTAATGTACCAACCCAAGAATAAGAAATTTTAGTAAAGTAGCACATCAGAACATTAGAATAAAAGAAATTCAGTACACTCTACTGGACTGATATGTTAGAATTTAATACTGACAGAACAGCTCTCTCATAACTTATCAAACCTAAAAGATTCAATTTCTTTAAATAATGAAGAGATCTATTTCAACTTCAGAAATTCCTCTGGGAACTGAGGGATAATTTTAAATGCACTATTTTATCTACAAAATATACTGTATTATGAAATGTAAATAAAATATTCCAAACCATTAAATAATTTAGGACAAGTTTGTAAGGATTAGAGGAGCTTTTTGTGACAAAAGCCAAAATGTCTTAGTGTTCACATTGTTTAATTTTAAAAAATCAGAAAGGGTGATCCCTGTTCGGGCGCCATAATGCCGGGGTTCTTGTCCCAGCCTTACGAAGGGTTCAGCATTCTAGAGAAAGGGGCTGCACGTAGATGATTAAAGAGTCCTGAGAGGAAAGATAATTTTGAAAGGCATTGGGGGTCAGAGGAACTTCAGCTGAAGGAGCTAAAGACTCTAGTCTAAGGAACCCATGGTATTTATTAAAAACAATTTGTCCTAAGGCAAGGTAGACACATACACTTCAAAGGGTAGGGTACAGAAGCATTGTCTGTTTGGGGAATAGCCTACAGCTATAAAATGCCCTGAGCTGTCTGGCAGTTAACAATTATCCTATTCAGGTTTGGGGAAGTGCCGTTTAGCCATTTCCAACAGGTAAACTCTATATGTGGCTCACCCTTGTTGACCTGCCCAAGTTTCACCAACCTTTTGGTAAAACTCTTGTAATTATTACATGCTGGAATTGGTTCCCGGCACAAATTCATGACAACTAGCTCAAATTCTTGTCAGGAGTAAAAAAGAAAACAAAATAAACGAACGAATGAACAAACAAACAAAAAACAAACCTGAATAGTTTTACTTACATCAAGAACCTTTTTTGTGTATGTGGCAGCATGAAGCAAAGAGAATAACAAGACTGGGAAAATACTCACTGAAGAAAAAATTAAGGAAACATTTTAAATTTATCAAGTACTTTGCAAAATAGGCTATGTATTATGTCCAAATATTCACATCTGAAATGGCATCTGCTAAAATGAATTCAATGACAATTTTTTTCAGTCTTGCAAGGATTAAATATGTCAAATTCATATATAGACAAAATAGATGCTCAAATAATTTCACTTTCCTCCTATTCTCTTTAAGACTTATTACCTAAAAAGGTAGTATTTAGCCTTAAAAGATTTATTTTATTGTGCCTCCATTGTGTATAGTTGTATAAATTATTCAAAAACTCTTTAAGAGCAGCACTTCTCACTTCTCAAAGCACAAATCACTTTCCTGAGAGATGATCCACAGGAGGAAAATAACAATTAAAATAATTAAGTTTAGGAAACACTAGTAACTTTTAGTCTCACAAAGTACATTAGCATTTCAAAGGTCTTATAGTAAAGAAACCTATGGGTTAACCAAGTTCTTTCCAAACTAAACAGTATACCCCTTTATCCCTTTTCCATTTTTTAGAATACTTATTATCATCCCACAACACGTTTGAAATGTGTAGACATACAAATTACAAATGAGTTCTTTAATTTTCATTAGCTCCAGAGATTGATTATCCCGTTACTTTATTTTCTACTCTGGCCATAGCAATTGGCAATTTCATTGTCAAAAGGTACAAAGGATACTTGTAACAGGGTAGGAATTGACAAAGATGAGTGAATACAGCAGGTAGTGGCAGCTGTCCTCTAGCAAAGCTTGGGCCAGGAATGCTCTGCTTAACTGGAAGTGCGGTAATCTTTGGTGCAGCCTCAGAGCACTGGTAAGAGCATTTGCCAGCAAAGCGCGTTGATAAAAGCTTGCTGCTTCATGCAACCTACAAATTACCAGAGGAGAGGTTATCAGGAGACATAAACAACTACCATGCCTCTTTCCTCCTTTGTGAATTGCATCATAATTGCACAACACCTAAATCTATTACTTAATTATAAGCAGAAGAAAATTACACTGGTGTGGCTTGGTGGTTCAATATAGACCTATGAACCAAGAGGTTACGGTTCAAGTCCCCATCAGGGCACATGCCCGGGTTTCAGACTCAATCCCCAAGGGGTGTGTGCAGGAGGCAGCAGATTGATGATTCTCTCTCATCATTGATGTTTCTATCTCTCTCTCCCTCTCTGAAATCAATAAAAATATCTTTTTAGAATTTAATAGAATCATTAGAAGCATCATTTCATATATATATATCCAATTGAATTTTACAAAGCAACCATTTTTCCTGTTAAATAAAAAATGCAAAAAAAATATAAACTCATTTCCACACATCTATTTTCTCTCAGATTTCAATGTGATGTCAGTTTCCACATAGCACATAATATATTCTTCCTGTTAGTAACATTAGGTTATTAGTGCCTTAGAGACTTGTCTTTTATTTGTCCCTGAATCCCTTGCAGTTTAGCTAGTCTTGCACTTAAATGATAATCCATAAAATCTGATTAAACAACTGAATAACAAAGGCAGAAATAGATATAATACATACCCAAGAAGAGGCAGAACAAACAAAGCAGAACAGTACACTGTGAACAGGCGAGAAAGCCACATTGCTGTGTCCAGTTTATTGGTCATCATGAATTGCTGAATTAAAAAAAAAAAAAGATATTGTAGTAAGCTAAGGCTGCAAAATGTTTTTAAAGATGAAAATTATGTAGTTTTATTCCTATCCAAAATGTTTGAACAATTTTGTAATAATAAATTTTTTTTTAAGATCATTAGGTAAAAACTCTTAAAAAGCAATCACTTCACCTAACAAGTCTGAACACCCTACTGTTTTGATATGGAAAGCACAGGAAGTACTTAAATAGGAAAATACCAGTGTGTGTGTGTGTGTATGTATGTAGAGATATATATATATATATATATATATATATATATATATATATATATATATATATAAGAGTCTAATCAGGAGCCCCATCAGTGTGGCTCAGTGGCTGAGCATTGATCCATGCACCAATAGGTGTTTGGTTCCATTCCCTGTGGTCAGGGCACGTGCCCTGGTTGTGGGCTCAATCCTCAATAGGGGGGTACATAGTAGGCAGCCAATTGATTTCTCGCTCTCCCATCAATGTTTCTCTCTCCCTCTTTCTCTCTCTCTCAAATTGATTTTAAAGACTAATCAGGAAAGAAAAATTTGTTCAGAGATTTAATTACAGTTGTCTGTATTCCTTCTATACTTGTAAAACTGACTTCATCTATTTTTAAGACTGTTAAATAAGAACTGCTCTCAAGAGAACCAGAATGTCTATTCTTACAAAAATCTCAAACTGAAATAGGTAGGTCTCAGATCTGAATAAAAAGGTAGTATACAAAGCCAGTTTGGGTTAAGTAAACCTTACAAAGTAGAAATGTAATACCATGCCAACAGTAACTCACTACTGAACTCAGCCGGAGGGTGATTTGCCCATGTACACACAAGGTCGTGACATACTCTAGGTGCTCAAAACATGGCTGCCTCACGTTAAATAGCATCTGCCTCTTCCATTTTATAACTTGCTCATCCCCAGGAAGCTCCCGACAAGTCTTACCCTGGTTTCAGTGGCCCTAGATTAAACTTCTGTATACCATTTTCTTCTCATTCTCTGTTCCTTTACTGGTTTTTGCCAATAGATGTGTCCATCACCAATAACTTAAAATATCTTTTTAGTACATTAAAAAAACCAACTTATGCCGAAACTGGTTTGGCTCAATGGATAGAGTGTCGGCTTGGGGACGGAAAGGTCCTGGGTTCGATTCCGGTCAAGGGCATGTACCTTGGTTGCAGGCATATCCCCAGTAGGGTGTGTGCAAGAGGCAGCTGATCGATGACTCTCTCTCATCGATGTTTCTAACTCTCTATCTCTCTCCCTTCCTCTCTGTACAAAATCAATAAAATATATATTTTTTAAAAAGTTTAAAAAAACCAACTTATATTCAAATTCTAAAGTGGCTTTCAAATTTTTGATAGGACCTACATAATTTTTACATCAAGATCCAACACAAATGGGTGAATATATAAACAAAGGTTTCACAAAACAATACTTACCCATACTATGTGCGATAGATTTTGGCATTTTGCTTTCTAGTTAATGTTTTAAAGATTAAGTGTTGCCCAATTAGTGTGGCTCAGTGGTTGCGTGTCAACCCATGAATAGGGAGGTCATGATTCGATTCCCAGTCAGGGTACATGCCTGGGATTGCAAGCTAAATCCCCATTAGGGGGTGTGCAGGAGGCAGCTGATCAATGATTCTCTATCATTAATGTTTCCATTTCCCCTTCCTTACTCTTTGAAATCAATAAAAACATTAAAAAAAAAACACAAAAAAACCCTTAGTGTTCCCACTAAACTGATTTCAAAACTCACAAATGCATCTTAACCTGGAGTCTGAAACACTAGTCTAAGCAACCCTATACAATAACAGCCTAATATGCTATGTGTCCAGTCATTCATTCAACCCAGTGGTTGGCAAGCTGTGGCTTGCGAGCCACATGCGGCTTTCGAGCATGGGTTTGCTGCTCTGTTGACTAATGAGTTTGCCAACCTCTGACCTACTCTCCATTCTAATAATTACAGGCTGTTGCTGTTCCTGTGATTAAGCCCCTATCCGTGGTTGGCATACTCATTAGTCGCAGTTTGCCAACCACTGATTCAGCCAATCAAAGCGTAATATGCTAATAATATGCCAAGGCTGCTCAATTGCTATGAGGTGCACTGACCACCAGGGGGCAGACCTCCGACTGGTAGGTTAGCTTGCTGCTGAGGTTCTGCGGATCCAAGCTGAGTTGAGACTGGCTCAACACACCCTGGAGGCCTCCTGCGGTCCCTCCCTGGCTCACCAACCTCCTGGGTCTCTCCCTATCCCTGACTGAGCACCAGTGGGGTCCCTCAGCCTGGCCTTTGCTCTCTTACAATCTGGGACTCATCAGGTGATGTCAGAGAACTGGTTTCAGCCGGATCCCATAGGCCAGACTGAGGGATCCCACTGGTGCACAAATTCATGAATCGGGCCTCTAGTCTAATATAATTATCTTTTCTTTTTTTTTCAAGAAGATATAGTAAAAAACTTTTGGAAAAAAATGCAAGTACATTTTAAAATTCAAGTGTGTTTTAGTGCATGTCTTTTTAACAGTATGCTGGTAACTTTGGAAATATGCCTCTAGTTTATTCTATCCAACTATATTGTTGACACCTTTAAGTTTAAATGATCATCAGTAGCCAAGTGAAAGGATGAATCTATTATAGATCACTATGCTGTTTCTATACAGATTCTACAAATGTTCTAATTTTAGGACATTTTCTTAAAACCTATTTGTGTTTAGGAAGTTCACTTTGTGATATATCATTGAGCTATGCATTTCATATTGTACATTTTTATGTGTGTGCAACTTTATTACACAACAAAAAAGATTTTAAAACGTGTATATTGGTCTAAATTTTAAGAGTGAACTGCCTGCCGAAATTGGTTTGGCTCAGTGGATAGAGCATCAGCCTACAGACTGAAAGGTCCCAGGTTCGACTCCGGTCAAGGGCATATACCTTGGTTGTGGGCACATCCCCAGTGTGGGGTGTGCAAGAGGCAGCTGATTGATATTTTTCTCTCATTGAAAGAGGGATCTCTTTCTCTTCCTCTCTGTAAAAAAAATCAATAAAATGTATTTAAAAAAAAAAAAAAAAAGAGTGAACTGCCCAATCATGATATAAATAATTCACACAAAAAATGTCAATGGATCTTTGAGTGAAAAACTATTAAGGTGAAAAACTATTCACAGTGTCAAACTACTATGTCATAGACTTTTTTTCATTGATTTTTCGAGGAAGAGGACAGGAGAGGGAAACAAACACTGATGTGAGAGTGTAACATCAATTGACTACCTTGTATGACCCCTACCAGGGATGGAGCCCATAACTGGGATCGGTGCCCAGACTGGGAATTGACGATGAATCCACAGATGATGCCCAATCAACCGAGCCACCCAGGCCAGGACTCGTAGACTACTTTTTAATTACAAAGGCAAAAAAAAAAATTAAAAAATTTAAAAAAATCTTTACAATGGAAAATCTGGTGGATACCACCCTAACCAGTTAATAAAACTTAGTACTCTCTCAGATGGTGGGATAAATCGAGATAAAATGCGTCCTGATATATATAATGTTCTGAAAAGAACAGAGTACCACTTATCAGACAACTCCAAGGTGAGGAGTATTCTGCAGAACAACGGGTTTGGATATGGACTGAATATTAGGTTATCACATGAATCCATGTTAAATTTCCAAAATGTAACTGCAGACACTGCAGTGATGACTGCCTTGTAGTCATGTAGAATACGAAATTATTTATGTGTTAGCCATCATGATGTATATGCAATTAACTCTGATAAAAGTCTGCAAAATAAAGAAAAAAGAGTATATAGATATATAGATAATGGCATAAACTGAGCAGAAACATTCTCTGACAGCACGCATGTGCAGAATGAGGCGAGTCCTGGCACGATCTCACGTGGCATCTTCAACCTTGGGACCTAGGATAGAGACCGGGGAGTGGAAGAGGCAAGAAGGCCCACCTTCCCCGGCATACAGGTGTGGGCCACCTGAGCCGGGATGGCCCGACAGCAAGCCTGATGTCAGGCCTGGAAAAGAGACGTGTAGGTGCCTTGCATCTTCGCTCACGATCTCCCTCGGCCACACCCTCAACCCTACCCCAATCACTAATCCCAGTCCTGACAGCCAAGAGCTTCGGGGCGCCTCGGACCCTGCCGGCAGCACTTCCCGCTCCTCCCTAACTCTCGCACATCAAGTCAGACCACCTGGCCGGCTCACTTACCACCGCGCCCGCCCCTTGGGGGCCGTTCGGGGTCGTATCCGCCATGGAGGGCACAAACACGCGCGTCCGGGGCGCTGCAAACAGGCAAAGCAGCAAATGTCAGCGCGGAGCCCCGGCCCCCGGGCCCCGTAACCGGCTTTTCCGCCGGTGCCACACGCCGGGAGCGCCCCGCGAGAACCCCAACACCCTCCGGAGACAAGTTCTCCCCAGCACCAGTGCGGCCGACTGCCCGGGGACACCCGCAGCGGCCGGTGATACCTGTCCGGCACCGCCGAGAGCAAAGCTGGGTTTCTAGAAAGACCTGAGCGAAGGCGGAGCTTCGGAGCAAGGCCCCACCGGGCTGACCTAACGCCGCCGGCGCGGGGTTATGGCCAGGATCGGAAGTGCTCCTTTCACTTCCGGGAGGAAGAGGCGTTGCTGAAGAGGGGGAAGCCCGGAGCGGTGCCCCGGGGCATAATGGGAAATGTAGTTCTTCTCCTTTTGGCTTCACCTGCCCTGCACCCTGCCCTTTTGGCTCAGTAAGCTAAAAATCAAGGCCAGTGAAACAACTTTTCTTTCTTCCTTCCTTCCTTCCTTCCTTCCTTCCTTCCTTCCTTCCTTCCTTCCTTCCTTCCTTCCTTCTTCTTTCTTTCTTTCTTTCTTTCTTTCTTTCTTCCTTCCTTCCTTCCTTCCTTCCTTCCTTCCTTCCTTCCTTCCTTCCTTCCTTCCTTCCTTTCTTCCTTTCTTTCTTTCTTTTTTTTTTTTTAGACCAACAATTTATAAAAAAACTAAGACAAGACAAATTAAGTAGATAAACAAAAAAAAAAAAAGAAAAGAAAAAGAACAGCGAAGTCCCTCTACCGCCACGATCCTGGCGGCGTCGGCCTCAGGCTTGGGGCATCCGGGAGACCTGCAGTCTGCCACAACTTTTCTTTCTCTTCTCCAGCTCACAGATGCTCCATAGCCCCTGCCATTGCCAGACCACGAAATCTCATTACTCCATAACATAGAAGGCTTAGCAACGTCGTCGTCTTTGCTGTTTTCCTCCAGGGGGCTCATTCAGCCCTATGGTTCTACTACTCCTTTTTTTTTTTTTTTTTTTTTTTTTTTTTTTTTTTTTTTTTTTTTTTTACAGAGAGGAAGGGAAAGGGATAGAGAGCTAGAAACGTTGATGAGAGAGAAACATCGACCAGCTGCTTCCTGCACACTCCCTACTGGGGATGTGCCTGCAACCAATGTACATGCCCTTGACTGGAATCGAACCTGGGACCCTTCAGTCTGCAGACCGTTGCTCTACCACTGAGCCAAACCGGTTTCGGCTGGTTCTATTTCTGAAATGAATTCTCTCAAGGGGTACTTAAGGCGGCTGCTAGGTGACAGGCCCGAAGCTTGGCACAGAAGATAGAAAAGATGAGAATTGTAGACGGCAGGGGAGACAGACAAGTAAACCGAAATCACACACAGTGCTGTGCAATACCAGCAGAAGCCTAGTTAATCACAGGGAGCACTTAGGAGGGGATCCTGGGTCCGAAGGAATCTGGAAAGTTTTCCTGGGGGAAAAAGGTAATACTGGCCCTAAGTTTTGAAGGGCAGGCAAAGTTGGCTAAATGGGGAAGGGGATTTCAGATAGCAAGCAAAGTGCATGAAGCAACAAACAGGAGTCAGGTGATTAGCTCAGTATGGCCAGAATGAAGGTGCCAGTGAGGGAGATTATGAAAGGCTTGAGCTACAGAGTCATGCAGCTGTGCTAAGGAGACGATCTGAATTTAACCTTGAAATTCAGGTACAATTTTAAGCAGAAATGTGACAGCGTGAGATTTAAGTCATTCTGGCAACCGGATAGAAGATGATCAGTAGGGCAAATTAAAAGCACAGAGATCAATTGGGAGGCCATTACATACATATAGGAGAGAAGTGATGAATTCTAAATGGAGACAATGTTGTGGGGGAAGAGAAGAAGAAAGATGACTTGAAAAGGCCATCCAAGATTTGCCTTTTATTACTCTCCATTATTATCAGTTTGTTAGAACTTTAAAAATGTATACTTAAATGTTAAAATTATGTTTTGATGCTGGTCTTTTGTTATGAGTTGAAAATTTTCCTTTCCCTTTCAAAGCTGGGGGTTGGGGGGAGACACCCTAAGTTTGTATATGAGGGAAAGGTGGAGGAACACTCTGTTCCACAACCTTAGACCTCACACTGAACTGCCAGGCCGTGCTCTGTGAAGCTGCTAAATTAAGATAAATGAAAAGGGGACACAAATCAGGTGGCTTTCCAAATGGTTCATGGTTTGCTTTCTTGATTTATGAAAGATGATACTCCTCATTAAAACTCTTTTTAATAGTTTGACTTCATTTTTGTTGAGTGAATCACCTTTGTCATATTATTTTAATAACTGAGTTATTTTGATTTCATCTCGTTGCTTCTTCTGCATTCTCAGATGTGCTGAAGATAGACTAAAAAACACCACAGATATAGGCTTACAGTGGAGGTTCTAGAAAGGTTTCAAAGGAGAAATAATTTGTTCTTTTAAAATTTCTTTATTGATTAAGGTATCACATATTTGTCCTCCTCCCCCCATTCCAATCCCTCACCCCTCCTCACTCATGCCCCCAACCCCCTATTATCCAATAATTTGTTTTTAATGGATGAAAATAAGGGATAACAATTTATCAAATTGTGCTATAGTTATTCTTACAAATAGCACTCATTTTTAGTAACAGCTAGATTTTCTTCTGTTATCTCTCTCTAAAGCATAAGTATTAATAAACAGGCAGACTATATTTTCTCCATTTCTGTATCATTCCCCCAGGTTTTAGATACTGATATGGATTCCAAGACAGTGTTTTAGGCGATTTGGGGACAGTATAAAATACATTGTGATTATAGTATAAGTTGAAGTCACTTTGCCAAGACATTGATTTCTGTAAGAGCTTTTAGTGGTTAGTGTTAACTGTTGAATGCAGTGATTATCAAGAAGTATAATGAATAGATGATATTTGGTCCTTTTTAAAATTTTTAACAGTTGAAATTTGTCTTCTCCACCCCCCAAGTGTATTTATTTATCCACTTTCTTCCTTTATCAGTCTGTTTGGTAATGTTAAATTAATTAAATATGGAAGCCATTAGTCCAAGGTAGTTCTAAAACTTTAGCATCCAAAACACAAGCCTATACATGCCTCAAGGTTAAGAAGGCAAAACTTAAGGACAACCAACCTTTTCATATAAGGCAAATATTTAAAGGATAGCCTATCAAATAATTCCATTGCTTTGCTTCTGCCATTTCCCTAGAAAAGTCTTTCCTCTAGCTCCTGTCAGTGGAGTACTTTTAACCACTTTTGATTTGGCACTACCTGATTTGAATTAATTTTTGCTAAAATAAACTTAAAATTTTTAATATGCCTTGGGTTATCTTTTAACAGTAATGAGATAACTTATCAAATATACAATGAGTGGCCAGATTATTATGATCTCTGAACTCATAATTACCTGGCCACTCAGTGTATATCCTATATAATAAAGGCTAATATTCGAATTGTCCCCTTGACTTGGTGTTTGACCAGCAGGCAGGCTGGCCAACTACCCATGTCCCCTCCCCCTGGCCAGGCTGGCCAGACCCCACCCATGCACAAATTCATGCGCCGGGCCTCTAAAACACACACACACACACACACACACACACACACACACACACTGAGTGGCCAGATTATTATTATAATTCAGAGATTATAATAATCTGGCCACTCAGTGTACATAGTTGTCTTAGTCAAGACTCTCCTGATGGCAAGTAACAGAAATTAAGCCCAAACAGACTTATGAGGGAAAGGGGACAAAAATAATTGACTACATTGGAAAGACCAGAGGCAGATAATTTTGTAAAAGACATGAGTGGAATTAAGATACAAATGAGCCTGGCTAGTGTGGCTCTGGTTGAACATGGACCCAGGAATCCTGCAGTCCCTCGTTCAATTCCAGGCTCAGTCCCCAGTAGGGAGCGTGCAGAGGCAGCCTATTTATGTTTCTATCTCTCTATCATTCTCCCTTCATTTATCTCTCTCAAATCAATAAAAACATTAAAAAAAAAATACTCCAGAGTATGAATGGTATCAAATGACTCTGTGTTCTCCTTTCTGCTCCCCTCTGAGTTTACTTCATTGTCAGGCTAATTTTCCCTCAACTCAAGTCCATATTCTACCACGTTAGCAAGACTAGACCATAGAAAGTGCCTCTTGCCTGATACTTTTCAAATAATGATCCAGGCTTGATTCTTAGTGTGTCAAATTTGATCCCATAAGTTCTTTAAAAATTTTTTAAAAATATATTTGTATTCATTTCAGAGAGGAAGGGAGAGGGGGAGAGAAAGAGAAACATCAATGATGAAAATCATTGACCCCATACTGGGGACCAAGCCCGAAACCCAGGCATATACTCTGACCCTGGTTTATAGGTTGATGCTCAACCACTGAGCCACACTGGCCAGGCTCATAAATTCTTAAACCTATTATTGACACAGATGGGCCAGGTTTGGGTCATTTAACCACTCTTGTCTGAATGGAATGGTAAGAGGAATATGTATGAGATCAGCTTCCTCTGAAACTCTTAAGTATTATTATGTAAAGAATGAGATATAGATGCCAGGAAAGCAAAAGTCATATAATTCTGCTTTAAACTTCATTTTTTATCTGGTGCTATATATATCAATATATCGATATGTGTGTGTGTGTGTGTGTGTGTGTGTGTGTGTGTGTGTTTTCAGTGTTTGTCAATCAATTTCTACTTGATAAGAATTTCCATAGGATAAGATTCCAGTCATAAGTATTTTAATTGAGGGAAAGAAAATTTTCCTGTAACATAAACCCTGAAGCTGAAGCAGTTGAGTACCAAGAGGCTATTACTCCTTTTGGCTAAAAATTGGCTGAGGGAGCAAGAACTGATTCCAGAGTTATTGATGATTTGGCTCTCCCCAGTTTTCAAGGGAGATCTACTGAACCATCAAGTCATCAATTTGCTCATTTCTGCTTCCATCAGTGATTAATGATCCTGTGGTTGCATAGGGCATCTTTGTAATTGCTAAGTGCTGAGTCATTCATCTCATTAGGAGCACATTCCAGCTTCTATTTGCTGTCTGAAAAGTAAGCTCCATAAGCTCTGCTGATGTAGCTTAAGTATGTAGTCTTAATTGTGTGTGTGTGTGTGTGTGTGTGTGTGTGTGTGTGGGGGCACGCACGCGCGATAGCGCGCTCTCACCCCCCACCCCCCAAGCACCTTTGTTTTTCACTAGACTATTTTTAAACTCTATAAATCGTGGATAACTGATAGCAATGTAACTAATTTTTGTCTATATGTTAATTTCCTACTGCTCCTTTAAAAATTTAACATAACTTTACTTATACTTACAGGTTTGGAAGCCAGAAGTC